AAGGGGTCGGGCAGCGGAGAGGAGGTGGGGGTGTCCCTGTGCCGGTGGCGCCGTCTTCGAGAGCCGGAGTTGCGGTGCCTGTTACGGGAACTTGATCCTGCAGCGGGGGGGATATATAGTACACGGTCAGAGTTGTTGCAAGAAGCTTGACTTATTGAGGCTGAAATACACTGTGCTGCCTGGAGTAAATTCTGAGCGTGAGGTGAGGAAAAATTTAGAGAGCCGGAATTGTGGTGCCTGTTACGGGAACTTGATCCTGCAGTCAGAATACATTTTATTCTATTTTTCTTTTCTGTCACATTTATACAGGGTTGCTCATTCAGTGGTAACACTGCTTTTCAGTGAGGCCCTGGGCATGTAGTTGGAAGAGCACACTGGCAGAACGTACTACACCCGTGCAAACCTGTAATATATTCCACGCGCATAGCACTTTGGCAGAACGTCTCTTTTTGAGGTCGAATTTGTGTATTTAAGGATGTCTATAGTTTTCAAATGTTGAGTTGGAAAAGAAATTGCAACAGGCAAAATTCTGATGCGATGTTGATCAAACGTCCAACAAAAACTGTGAAAAATTGGGGTTGATGCAGTACGTTCTGCTACCCGGTAGTTGGAAAAAACTTGATCCTGCAGCGGGGGGATATATAGTACATGGTCAGAGTTGTTGCAAGAAGCTTGACTTATTGAGGCTTAAGTACACTGTGCTGCCTGGAGTAAAATCTGAGTGCTGGGACCATGAGGTGAGGAAAAATTTATTCATGTGCTGTTATGTACTGGTAGCATCCTTGGGACAGTCAGGTAGCTGGAACACCAAGATATACAGTTGTTAGATACCAAAGTTGTACAATGGACCTATCACATTATTACGTCACAGTTTGTTTACTGCAATGAATGCCGGTCAATCGACGTTTATATTGTACAGGGGTGCGTAGCGCGGTGTGTGTTTGTGTACAGTACTACTTTTGTCTAATATCACAACTAAATCACCCATTGCTGTGCCAACAAAACTAGACGCAGCAAAAATTAAACATACCTGACTTTATTCTTTAACTGACCATTCTAGACTGTTCTTTACAACAGGTAAACAAACTGTGACATAATAATGGTATAGGTCCATTATATTTTTCCTGTGTGTTACAAAGGACTTTTGCCTAAGTATATTCTCAGCATCTTGATCTCATCATTATTATCTGGTCTAAACTCTACTTTTCTATTTCTGAACAGACTTCTTTATCTATAATTTTAATGTACCAATCCCGGACAAACACAGACAAACATAAAATGAGATCTAGCTAACAGGGGAAGGGGGTATGACATACATATTAAATGGGAAATAATGACTACTCTATAAAGAGTATGAGCAAAGCACTGCCAATCCTCAGGTAACCGAAGGGAACTATGAAGTTCCAGATGTATTACTGAGGAAGGACTGCAGTGCAACTGAGGAATGATTCTACTCTACTCATACTACTCTCTACAAAGACTGCAAATCAGCAGAACATACTGCACCTGCGCAAAACCCATAATGTATTGTGCTTAGCACTTCGGGAGAACGTCTCATACAAGGTCGTATTTGCACACATAAGGCTAACGTCCAGACTGTAGTTTCCAATTGTTGTGTCTGAAAAGATATTGTCTGTAACAGGCAAAATTCTGATACAACATTGACCACACATTCAACAAAAATTGTCCAAATTCTGGGTTTGGCACAGGTGCAGTGCGTTCTGCCGACGTGCTTACAAAAAACACAAGAAAAAGTCCAGCTCCTCTACAGCATAAGAAGGCATACATCAGATAGTACCTATATCAGTTATATCCAGGTGGTCAGTCTCCTCTGCCAGAACTCGCTGCAGTACCTTAGTGAGGCGCGTGGAGGGGCTGTCTGACGGGCTGTCCAGCAGCCCCAGCCCACGGTCATCCAGTATCCGCCTGGGGGATGACCCTGAGTCTACGGAGGGAAGGAGAGGTGGTGCGGGTTAAGGTACTGGCTTGTTGAGATATGTACAGCCAAACCTGTACAAGTGACCACCTCTACATAAGGACCACCTCTACATAAGGACCACCTCAGTCCTGGCCATTGATATAGAGTCAAAACTGTACAGGTAGTTCTGTAAATAATTTCATCAGGTTTGTAAACGACTGAATAACAAAGTTCTTTCTATCACAACCATTTATTTTTCAAGCCGACGTTTCAATGACCTTCTGTCATCTTCATCAGGGCAATTCGTAATGTGCTGGTAGTTGTGAATAGTTACCTCCATGAAAAATGGAGGTATTGTTTTTGGTGTGTCTGTATGTCTGTGTGTGTGTCTGTCTGTCTGTCTGTGTTTCCGCAACTTTGTGGTCAGCATAACTTCAGAACGCCTTTATGGATTATGGTGATATTTGGTATGTTGGTAAGTCTTAGGAAGACAAACGTCAAGGTCAAATATGGGCCTCCTGGTGGATGACCTTGGTACTGCAGCAGAACTTCCGGTTTTTGTATCTTTTGTCCTGAACATGCTATGGTCTTGATGTTTTCATGACAGATTGCTTTTCCTGTCAGGAATAAGTGGTGTGAGTTTGGTCCCCCTAGCAGCTTGTTCTGTAACTGCAGGCACATTTACATATCAAGCCCATATTTCATGGAGGTATGAAATCTCGGAATTCTTGTTTACATATTTTTTTAATTATTAAAGGACATTTTTGGTCGTCCCTTGGATAATTTTTCTCATTTACACAAGCATAAAGAATCCTATCTAAAGTATAACCTGTACACACATATTTTTTTTGGTCCAGAGTGGTCGTATTGGGCAAGTTTGACTGTGTTGTTGTCTTGTGGTTGAAACTTGTCACATTTTAGAGTAAACTCTTAAAAAGCTAAAAACAATTTACAGGATTCTGGCAGGTGGGCATTTCAGATCATGCTGAAGAAGAAAAAAGATTCACTGTTAACCTTGCTCAGGATTATGAAGCAGGTTTAAACTGTAGTTTCTGGGGCAAGAAATTGGGCTTACCTGATCTTGTATTGCAAACTACAGTTCAAGCTTGCTTCATAATTACCGACTTCTACCAACACAGATCAACTTTCTAGATTTGCATTTCCTTGTTGGCACAAAATGGAACAAACCCTGTCCCTAATCATGTGCAGCTACATGTAAGCATCCCATACTAAGCAATTTCAGCAGCTAAGGTGGCCCTGTAAATGTGTACATTGAGAATGGTTCTCTCCTTACAGTCGAGTAACAAGGCTTTAGGGACAGTGGTTGTCTAGGGCACGGTATTGGAATGTAGAGCCCATCCCTCTCCATCCGCTGCCTTCTACCTCCCCAACGAAGTCAGGTACCCATTTTACACCTGGGAGGAGTGAGGAAACTCGTGTGAAGTGCCTTTCCCAAGGACACAACGTCTAGCAAGGAATCAAACCTCTTGATACCGTGCCGCTAGCCTAGCCACTTGTCCATTGAACACCACATGAACATTTGTGGGGTCGTATTTGGTAGAACATTCGGATCGGAACCAAGAGGTCCCGGGTTCGAACTCTGTGTCACCGATCTTGTGCCTTTGGGAAAGGCACTTTACATGACTTTCCTGGATGGAGGCCTGGCGAACTCCATCTTGTATTAGCCACAAAAAGGCAGCAGTGTCTTCAGTTAGCTGGACGGATGCAGCAATATAAGAAGAAAAAAAAAATTTTTTACGGCTCTCATCAGTGGCCAATATGAGATGTTGTCACATCGGCGCACCAAATCCGTAAGGTGTTTTTGGCACCCTGACAGACAGATTAGCCTAAGAGGGTCGGTGGGCGTCACTCCACCGTATAGGTGGGGAAGTCGTGTAAAGTGCCTTTCCCAAGGGCACAACGTCGGGCCACGGTGAGTATCGAACCCGGGACCTCTCGGTTCCGAGTCCAACGCTCTAACCGTTGCGCCACCGACGCCACACTTCTTTTCTTAAAAGAAGAAAAAGAGGGAGAAGTAACCCGAGTGCTCACCCCTGTGGCCCCTCCGCCGTGACCCTCCTGCACCGGAGGCTGACCTGCGTTTGGGAATGGCGCCTTCGCTGGCGCGGGAGTGGCTCGGGACGGCCGCGGGAACCTCGCTGTCCTCCGACCTCACCGTGCTCGTGGTCTCCGCTGACACTGACCTCGACTGGGAGTCTGTGGGGGGAGAGAAGGTCTAGGTAATCAACATCATGTTGACTTCATACTTCAAAGAAGCCACATGACAAGCTTCACTGTTTCAGTCTACTGAGGAAGACCAGAGTGACTGCTCGAAAGCTCTAGGTGAGAGAACTTCCTTGTGTTAAATCAAAAGTTTTAACTTTAAACAAACATCATGAGTAGATAATCAATCTGATACATGTGTACACAGTAGATTGGTTAATTGATAGTATCTTGTAGATCGTGACAAGAGCTTTTTCTATGGAAAGGATACAGTATTGCCAGGCTGTACGACCAAGCCAGAAAGTAAGGAAACTTCTACAATCTCTTAGGATTCCGCAAAAGCAAGAATTAATGTGACATCTCCAATCAAAAAAATCTTTTTACAGCTTAGTTTAAGGATGCAGCAAAATCAATTCCACATTTCTTTAACTTCAACAGTGTGTAGTTATATCCCATTATGTTATTTTACTATTATGTTATTTATGTTATTTATATTATGTTATATTATGTTATATTATGTTATTTATTGAAAAATCACACATTTGTTTACATGCCAAATGACAAATTGAAAAGCCAATACATGAATAACATTACCTAATGTGGAGTTGTCCATATCATCATCATCGTCATCATCGTCATCATCATCATCCTCCTCGCCAGGTGTGAATAACCAGTTCAAACCGCCTGCAGTGTTCTGTGTGCGACTGCCTCCGCTCGAGTCCTTAACAGTTATCGCCCCCACCCTGGACAACGCCTCCAGCGCCGCAGCATTACTCTCCACGTCCCGGCCCTTCGCTTCCAGGTCCGACTTCGACTTGGGCCTCCTTTTTCTCTTGGAGTCCAGCTTCGTTCCCGACTTGTTGCCCTTGTTTTCTACCGTCACGTCGGCGCTCTGAGAGGCCGCGGGAAGCAGCGGATCGGTCGTGGCCGCCCACGAGCTGCTGTCCCCGCTGGTTTCCGACGTCCGTCTGATGAGTGGACGATCGCTGGACCGCGTGCTCGACGACTGACTCGAGAGGCGGGAGAACTCCGGATCCGGCCGGTCCTGGTCGGCCGGAAGGGTGGAGTCCCCGTCCCTCAGTATTCTGAACGTCTTCAGCTCGATCTCCCTGGAGCCGGTGGGGATGGAGCTGGTACTAGTCCGACCGCCGAGAGCGTCGCTCAGCGTCACGCTGGTGTCTAAGCTAGCGGCGCGCAGCTTCTCCAGCTTGGGCCGCGTCCGGCTGGTCCGTTTCTTGAGACTGCTGGAGCCGGCGGACTTGGGGCGGACAGACTTGTCCGTGCTGACGTTAGGAGAGCTGGCCGAGGTGACGTGGTCCTTCAGCTGCTCCGTGGACACCTTGTGACTGGGCAGCTCCAGACTGGACTGGGTGCTCTCCAGGTCCAGGCCTCCATCCCCCCGCGTCCTCTGTATGCACAGAGGGTCCCTGTCCTTCGGGTACAGCCTCGTCAGGGGCTTGTGGGGACGAATTTTGCTCAAGTTGTCCTTCTCTAGGGATAAGTCTGATACTGTCATCTTACAGGGGTCCTCTACCAAGGGAGAAGGGTACCCGCCCTCCGCTCCCAAGTCTAAGGTTTTCTTCATCTCCTCCCCCACAGATCCTAACTTCTCAACTATGTCTAATAACGAGGAAACTTTCTCCTCTGCTGAGGCCTGAATCTCTTGGAATTTCTCCATTGTTTCGTCTATAATCTCTATTTCTGCAGGAGTTCTAACCTCAGCAGGTTCCTCAGTTTCTGACTGTGTGGGCTCCGTGTGTGCCTCAGAGTGCAACTCTACGTCGGTCTCACTGGGGATTGTCGTCTCTTCTGTCGGCGTGGTTTCACCTTCCTCAGTGTTCACTGTAGGCGGAGCTTCATTATCTGTAGGGGTTGCATCTACAGAGGAGCTGGTAGCCAGTGGCTGCTCCCCTTCTGTCTCAGAACCGGGCTGTTTTGTGTCCTGCTCCATGATTGGCTTGTCCTCGTCCAATGGGGTGTTACCACTGCTGGGGATGGGGAGGTACTGCTCCCTGATAGGGTCCTGGGACCGCGCCTCCTTCAGAATGGCGGGCTGCTCGTGGGGAGAGCCGGTCGGCATGGCAACAGGCGAGGCGTCTTCAGCTGACACCACTGGGGAACAGAAAGGTCAGGATTTGAGACAAGACACAACTCGTTTCAAAGATCCGATAATAAAGATCCATTTCTTATGCAGTTATAGAATTCAATCTTAAAGGAAGAGAAAGCATGCAATGAGTTTGGCAGAAATGCACAGCTCCAATTGTACCTGCCCTAACCTGCATATGCAGGTGGTATTTACTGTGGAGACCTGTATGGACATCTATGTCATCCTGAAGCATTGCAAGAGAAGTGTATATACAGCCAAACCTGTAGCCACCTCCTGAAGCCAGGCAACTGGCTGTAACCTTTTCCCAGTCCCAAAATCTTTCTTTTCCCATGCAAGCATTAAGTGACCTGCCGAAGAAGACCAATTTACCCAGTCTCCTGGGTAGCCTTCTTGGGCAGGTTAACTGACAGTTTAATTTCTGTACTTCTGTATCTGTATAGCCGGTATAACCACCCTTTACAGGCATGCAGCACAGCAGCAGCTGGCTATATTATACTGAATGACCTGTTACACCTAACCTTTGCACATCTAACTGTAAACGTTTAATTTCTGTATCTGCATGTACATATAAGTTAGTCTCCACCACATGCAGGCACACATGCAGGCAAAATGGACCCTCTATGGTTGGCCAACTGGCCTGGTCAGCTACATTTTGTTAGGCCGATGTTACTGCAAAGGAGTCTGATGGAGACTACATGTAAGTCCTTCAGAATCACAGCAGAAACTTACTCTCTAGAGAAGTGTTTTGACTGGTGAGGCTGGAGGTGACCTCAGTGTTGGGTTCCTCCCCCTGCGGGCTGGCTGGCTGGTCAGGGTCAGGCTGGGGAGGGGGGTCCTGACAGGAGCCCGTCTGGTCCTCTGGGGCGTCCTCTCCATCTACAACTGGCAGGGGGGAAACATTCACCATCAGAAAATGGAAAGACTTCTGAAAATAACTTCACTAGGTTGCTAAAACATCATCATCATCTGGTCGTGAGAGTTTCACGGATGCTTGACTCTCTCCTGCCAGTCCTCCCTATCCTCCATGGCCCTGGGCTGGTCTTCTGGTCTGCAGCCCGCATCCTCACACAGTTGGTGTGTGTAGGGTAGCTGTGTAAGGTCTGCCTACACTGGTACATTGTGTGCCTCATGCTAAAACATATTAGGATAGGATTTTGGGGTTTTCTTTTTTTTCATGTTCTTCTAAATTAGTTCTAACATGTTTTAACACAGAGTGAAAAAACATGAGATTTTGGAAGAATCTGATGTTTTCTCTGCTGCCGAATGCTGTAACCAATTGTAGAGAATTATTAGCCAAATGGCAACTTCAGTGTAAAGGGTAAGGTAAAGGTAACGGTGGTCCCATATCCTGCAGGGGCAGTGGGTTGTTGATGTACTGTCACGGTATAGGAATGGGGGAGCCTGAGCCCATTCAGGCTCTCCTTCCAGTGCCTTCAAGAACATCATACATGACATGATGACTCACAAGATAGATACAAACAAACCCTTAAAGCACTGGTGGTAAGGTACTGGCACAAGCAAGAAGCTGTATATATTATCATTGTATGCGACCTCTGACCTCCCAAAAGCAATCTGGTAATGTCGTGTTGCTTCGTGCTTTGTAGTTGTAACTGTTTATTGCTCTGTGGTTTTATGCTAGTTGTAGTCTAATGGATGCAAGTGTTATGTTATGTGCCTTAATTTGTATTACATTTGTGTACCCTGTGTTTTATGAATCCAGTAAGAATAGATTAGAATTGATACCTAATCTCATGGATATCTAATAAAACATCAAACATCATGCCCTCTACCTCCCCAACTGAAGTCAGATACTAGTACCCATTTTGGGATTGAGGTTTATTGAGGTAAAACTCTCCTTTAGCTGCCCACCCGAAGGTGGCAGCTATTCTTCCAGGAGAGGGTACATACATAACAATACATACATAACAATACATCACGTACAATTACATATACATTTACATTACATAGTAGACATTACAAGTGTGTAACATCGTATGTGCTCTACTTGTTCATGTCCCTCATGTGTTTTAGTCGGTCTTGTTTGAACTTCTCATGTGATGCCACTGTTTGCAGCCCATGTGGTAGAGAGTTCCATGCTGCAGTAGTTCTGTATGTGAAGGCTTTTTTAGTGCTGTTTGTTTTTGGTTTGTCTAGTTTGAAGGTGTTTCGAGTAGCATATCTGGATGACTGAGTTAAGTCGTGTGAAGTGCACTAACCTGCCGGGGACTTGGCGGTAATGGTTGCCATGGGGATGAGATCTGCGGACCCTGCGGCCGGCGGGTCCAGGTCACTGCTGAGGGTCATGTCGTTAATCTTCTGCAGGGCCTCCAGGACGTGGTGATGTAACGGGTCAGGCTCCTCACGCAGGTCTGCACATACAAACACACATACAACACGTCGGTGAAGGTTAGACATCCAGGTAATAAGATACATGTAGCAGGTCTGCACATGCAAACACACACACATGATTTATTTATTTATATATTTCATCTTATAAACACCTGGGTAGCCTTTCAACAGTAAAATTGTTGTTTTCCAAAAGGGCCCAGGGACATATAAACAATATAACATAACATAAACACAACATAAAGCAATTTGTATAAAAGTAACCAAGTACCAAGTACCAATTTGTATAAAAGTAACCAAGTACCATAACTGAGAAAAGTTAACAGAGATCAGTATAACTGAAAATCAGTATAACTGAAAAGTTAACAAATGATACAACATATATAAACGGCTGAACAGAAATGATACGTCGGTGAAGGTTAGACATCCAGGTAATAAGATAGCAGGACTCGAAATACTGGGTGCAATTTTTTTCTGTGGGGGCACCAGTGCACCCAAATATTTTTTTGTAGGTTTACATATGTCAAGATGTTAAATATAGAGTAGTACTAGTATTCAGCATATCCTCCACATCCAAGTGCCAGAAAAATAATAAAATCATTGTTGTAGTACTTCTCTTTAGAAATGAAACATAATTAGTTTTTTCTGACATTCTACTTATTTTGTCTTATATGGTGCACCCACAGAAAATTTTGTGCACCCAATATAACCGGTGCAATAGCTCAATTGGTAGAGTGCTCGCTTTGTAACCGGGAGGTCGTGAGTTCAAACCCCGGCCGGGTCATACCAAAGACTTTAAAAATGATACACACTTCTTTCTCTGCTTAGCACTCAGCACATATGAGAAAAAGTGTTGGGAGGTAAAACACACAGCACTACCAGTGGACTAGCCCCCTGCTGTAGTGCATTGCACAACTGTGTGTCGCCCAAGGGCTACAGAAATGGAGATGGGCACCACCCTACGCTCTGCATAAGAAGCATGGGAGACCCTTCCCCTTCCTTCAATATTTAGGTTGGGTGCACCAGCGCACCTATTCCCCAAAATGAATTTCGACCCCTGGATAGCAAAGTAACAGTTACTAAAACAAAACTATCCCTTATCATGAAAGTTCATCTCATGAGTTCGGAAGCGATTGGTCATCAATTATCCTGATGAAGGGGACAGTGGTCAGTGAAAATTTGATCTCTCTGTACTTGTTGTCTTAACAAAGTTCAACATTTTGCTATAGAACTATCCCTTACCTTCTGTACTTTTTATTGTTTCCAGCTCTGCTAGAACCTCCTGTGAAAAGACAACATATTTGAGTGCTATCATTTTCAAACTTATTGTAGTACAATTGTACTCTGAACTCAACACATACATGTTAACTGAACATGAATTACTGATTTCATGTACATGTACAAGGAGCTGTACCTTATAGTATACAAAATGTATGTTTGTATTACTATAAGGAACAGTCAAAGTAGAAGTCATCAGAGTAAAAATAGCAATACCAACTCTATTGATATATACCTGGGCATGAATACACGATAAAGATTCATTCATTATCTTTACAGCACTGATAATAAATCACTGATATTGATCTTTCTTACAGGTACTGGTGCAGTATGAAAACATTACCTTGGATTCATTAGGCTCAGCAAAAGAATTCCTAGAGCTGCAGGCGAGAGGTGGAGTAATGGTGTTTTCTGACGTCTGGATTACCTTCATCTCTATCCCCTCTTCACTGTGGACATAAAACACACACATCTCAGGCATTGCACCTAAACCTACGGCTGTAATACTGTGGCTAGGCGGTATCCATTGGCCAGAGTAGCGTCCATTAGCCACTGAAAGGACACTCCTCTGGCCAATGGAAGAAAGAGCCGATGGATACTGCCTTGCCACCGTATGATCTGCTTGGAGATTAACCTAAACCATCTCTCCTTTCACAACAGAGGACAGCATGTTGGTATGATTTATAACTTTCATCAGAAGTTTTGAAAGGGTAAACAGGTTCTTTCCAATCCCAAACCAAATAGAACTCCTTCTTTGCTTTAGCTAGGTTTGGTTTTATGCAGTACATGACAACATCAATCACATATCATAAGCCCCCAAAAGAACTGTTGGGTAAAAGAGATCATACAACGACTACTCCCAGCAGCAATATGTACTGTATGACTGTACATCATTCCCAGACATTGCTACTATATATAATATGCTAGTAGCTATAGTGATAAGTGGTTATGAGGTTGTTTCCCTTTTCTGGGTCTGTCCGCGTAATAATGAGTGCACATGAAGGTATACTGCACTAGCTGCATCAGGACTGTTATCTTTGCTCTAACTAAGCCTTATCTAGCATTGCCTCCTCAATATTGCCTGCTGCTAGGTATTCTTGTGAAGGTACATGTATTGCAAAGGAACGGAGTACATCAAGCCATTCTTATCAACCTACTTCAACAGAAATCAAGTCACCATTTTGCAGCCTGATGACAAGTTACATGTGTACATTCTTTTACTATCTTTAATAATTTTTTCTTAAAATGAAATGTACTGTGGACAAACTCAACTTCAAGTACTGTATGTTAAATTTACTACAATGTACATAGTCAAATTCTGCTTCTAAATGGGCAGATGACTTAGACTACAGAGGAGGAGAAAACAGGGAGAGTTGTTATGATCATGAAAGTTCATCTGTGTTGGTAGTTACATGTTAAAGTTAAAACTTTTGGTCCAACACAAAAAATTCTCTCACCTAGAGCTTTTGACCAGTCACTCTGGTCTTCCTCAGTAGACTGGCCCAGTGAGGCTTGTCACGTGGCTTCTTTGAAGTGTGACGGGGGGCTGACATCGTCTACCAGACACCTTTGACCCAGTGTTGACGTCACACTTCAAAGAAGCCACGTGACAAGCTTCACTGTGTCAGTCTACTGAGGAAGACCAGAATGACTGGTTGAAAGCTCTAGGTGAGAGAATTTTTTGTGTTGGACCAAAAGTTTTAACTCTAAAAAGGGAGAGTTGTTACCTTTTCTGTGTGTCCGGCTGGTCGTGGTGACTGCTGATACTTCTGGCGTCCGGCGCGACGTCCTCCAGCCCGTTAGCGTCCCTGGTGCTGTCCTCGATCGCACCCCCCTCCCCGCCCTTAGCCTTGGCCACGGCCTCCCCGCCATCAAACATCAGGTGCAGGCGATAGTTGATGACTTTGATGGTTGTGAAGAGGATCCCCACGACTCCACAGTACACCGTCCAGACAACCACGGAGGGAGGGAAGGCCTGGAGGGGAAAAGAGATGATGTTTTATCCTTCTAGGAAGAAGGAAAAAAGATTTAACTACAAAAGTCTACATGATGCTAATTCATCCCTAGTGTATTCTAGATGACTTTGGTTGTACATGTTTGTATCCTGGTTTGGAAAGATATCAGAAAATTTTCTGTTGGTTTTACTAGTATTAATCTAAGTTAACTTCGGTCCTTATAATAAAATATTATACCACTCATGATGCATGAAATTTAAACTGTAATTTCCAACACAAGAAATTGGACTTGTTCAAATTTTGACGGTACAACTCCAGTCTTTGTCTATTCAGAAGTAAATGGGCAGCAAAGGTCTTGTATTCAAATTGTCAAATAGGTATCATATTAGACTTTCATCATTTCACAGCTTTTCAATATACATTTTGTATTATTGTTAGTCAACTCTATTAGTATTATTGAATTTCATTCCTCACAATAGTATGAAAACCTACATTGTGTAAAATATTTCATTGTGAATCTTTAGAATAAACATTTATTGATCATTATTCATACTGTACAAAAACTGACACATTATAATGTCGATCAGCAGATATATTGTTGTTGAATAAAAAAATCAATAGCTTCCCATCAATCATGTTTTCTTGTGTCAAATCTGATATTGATAACTTGCAGTTGGCTTCCGTCTTGATTCACACAAACATAACAAAATATGATGTTATAAGCAAAACAAAATTTGGCATATCAATAACAAAGTACTGTTTTATTCTGTTGTTAGTAATCGAATTGTAAAAAATTCTTGCTTTTTGAAATATTGGTATACATTTTCAAAATATTCTAGTTTTGACCCTCCTCCTCCTTTGAGATGAAATCCATGTAACAAGATGAATCTCTAAACATCCTCTAGTGAAATGGGAAAGCTGAATGATAAGAGACAGTAATTTATTACACAATTTACTTTTATTGCACCAGCTAAGTACTTCTATTACTCATTCAGAAATGGTTGCAACATTGATGGAACATTGACTCATTGTACTTTGAGCTTTACGTCAATAATGCCCACCCTATATCATTACCATATCAAATCTATTTGATTTCAGATGCAACAGTATTTCAAATTTTACTACAGCATAGCATGTTGTCCGTTAAAACGGGGCATTTCGATGTCTGCTAAGATCAACATGGTTTGATGAGCAACCCACTTATCATTGATGAAATGGAGCCGGTCTGATACCGCAGGCCTCTCAGGAGACATGAACGTCAAGATTGCTGATACAAGTCAGATTACAGCCCTGCCAGGACCACGACTCTGCAGGTTATTGAGTTACAGGATCCACAGTACAGTATTGCCTCATCCTATCTGTGTGCCTCAGTCAAACCAAATGCACGTCCCATTTGTGTAGGCTTGACACAAACCGTGTTATCAGTATGATCTGATATCAGGGTTATGTAGGATGGAAACAACACCACCTCACACACAAACACACCACTGTGATGCTCCTGCACCTGTGATGATGCTGTCCAGAGTAAAAAACAGGAACTACCCAAATTTGGCAGTATGGAGGGTACCGCAGGGACACATGGTATGCTGTCAAAGTTTCAATGCACAAAAAAAAAATTAATAGTTTCATAATCAACAGCATTCATTTTGGATGTGCTGCTGTACGTACGAAACTAAGGACTTACACATGGAGAGAACACGTCCTTTCAATTGTGTGTAATTATTAATTATGTAGTCTGCCATGTGACATACAACTGTACCGATATCAACCTTCAGGAGTAATCATGTAATAAAGGCATATTCCATGGTCATGCCCAGCTGTATATGCTGATTCTAGGATGTACCACAAAATATTATATATCTCTACATATTCATATCAAATGATATTCTGGGATTATATTTAGAATTTTGTTTTCAGAGTGACAACCATAGATATCGTAACCAAACGAAATACAGTACGTTCTTCAGTTTGTGAAGGATGGTACATGGACTCTTTGAGATTAAACATAGACTTGTATCTTTAAAAAGAACATCCAAGTACATTAAGAACAAATAATGTATATCATTCTTGTATGACATACTAGATCTTGTCCATGGTTAATATGTTATTGTGTATGACCCCTGCATACATTCATACATGTACATGATTGTTCAACTACAACAGACAGCATGGTATAGATAGGTTGCCTGTAGGTCGACAAATACACGCGACTGTCGCACCACACCACGGCACGTCGTGCTCGTGTACTGTTCATTTGTCACGCGAGAAAATGAAGGATGACACAAATTATGCCCGTCCAATTTTATGCAAACAAAGATGTGGCATGGATACCAGACTGTGCCTATGAAATACAGTTGTCAAATACACTACACAAAATCATGGGGTGGGTAGATCTGGTTTGCTGGCCGTGTGGCGTGCTGACCGACAGACGTACTCACCAGGTACAGGGTGAAGGGGAAACACAGGAGAAACAACCACAGGTACAGGTGGAAAGTGTTGCAGAAGATGCCTTGGTGAGGGTCGAAGAACCAGCCTCCAGTCAGAGAAGCCCACACCCCCTGTCTGAATATCTCGAGTGTCTGGGACCCCATGGCTTCAGCACGCTGCCCCGCGTCCTTGTGGTCCTCAGGAAGGTGGGATTGCGGTTCCTACGGCGCGTTACTACATGCTGGAGAGTGTTTCCTGGTCCACTGTCCTTTTTTTCCACATCACGGCAGCCATATTGAATTTTGTTACCTCGTACAGGGCAGGCCCGGTTTACCTCCCAGCATGCCGCGCGGGCGGGCCATGCGGAATGGGGTAGAGTTGTAGGATGTTTCCCACCTTATTAGGTTGTTCCCACTTGTCGGTTATTCATTGCGTTGTGTCTGTGGGACTAAGAGATTTTTGCGTAGGCGGAGAAACAGGAAGAGCGTCATTTACCAATAGACGTGCCCATCCCTGTCCTGTACAATACGTCACGTCCAGACGTCCTTGTCCAACCCAAGACCTTGGCTTGGACAAGGACGTGGAAGGCAGAACCGCCTTGGTTTGGGCTTAGCCTCTACCAGGCTTCGGAAGCGGCTGGGAAAAAAGTAGAAATTGGAGCAAAATAGACAGGTGACTTGCACAGGGAGTTAGTTAGTCCGATAAAAGATTATATAGAATGAGTAATGTTTGTCGACTTTAGTGAGTCAACTCCCGCATGTTATCTGCCTATTTGGTCAATTTCTACTTTAGCAACTCGAAAAGACATGGAAGATACGACCCAAGTCGGTCAAAACTAATCAACCGTGGAGAATGTATCATCTAAGATGATACTTAGGACCTGTAGGTAGCAAATGATAAAGCAGTACTGTAACGTTATATGCAGAAATAAAGACCGTCACATTTCGAAGTAACACGTCTCCCCATGAAGGTAAAAAAGAGTCTCTTTTTTTACCTCCATGGTCTCCCCTACTCTCCAAGCAGAGGTTTGGGATTTGCCTTATTTAAGGCGTGTTTTTAGACATTTTTATCGGTCTCTCTTTGTTGTACTGGTATCTTTAATTTAAAAGCTGTCGTCTGTGCGCCTTGCCCAAAAACAGAACATTGAAATTCTACGACAGGCCAGATAAGAGTTTAGATACATTGTATCACCGTTTGAATCATTCTACCGAGGTGTGAACGTCTTGATTTTGTCACTGTTGTGACATTATCTTATTCGTCCCAACCAGTGAAGATGTCTTCGTGTATTTTTCAACAAATGTGATGAATACTCCTAAAACCGCGAGTTTTCTATATAGATCAACAACCGTTTTAATTTCGCGAGGGGGCGCGCGTGCACACCACCGGACGAAGGCCAAGGCTGGCCTCCGTACAGTCAATAGAATTGGGGTTTGGTGGTCTTCGGCTGTTTTCTGATCAGCCCAGTTCTAAATTTAAAAAAAAACGGGGGTAATTCAACCAGGCCGGCTATGTTGTCTATATGCAACCAGAAAATAGCACATAAAAGTTCCCAAAGACGCGAAGACCCCCAAAACCCCAGTTTTGGGCATGCTATGGAGGCTAGGCCATGGCCCAGAGAGAGCGGGAGAGAACAGTTGAACAGTTGGCGTAGGCGGACGTGAAACAGTGATTGTTATGCTATGTGCACCCAGTGGACAATTCAATATCTTCTCAGATACTGACTCTTAGATATTTAAAAAAAATTCTAAAATATTATCTCCAAATGCTTAGATGTTAGAGGATTAAACAGTGTAAATATTTTGTACTTTAGTCACACTGAAGTGACGGCCAACATTCTAAAAATAAAATGATAAAATACACTAAAGATAAAATGCACATGAAATGACAGTCTTAACAAACACGGTTCGGACCACTCTGGGAATTAACACTGTGAGTGTGTTAGGAAGTTGCCGAAATAAAAGCGAATTCAGGAAATGTGTTGTATTTGATCAGTATATAGCGCACTATAGAAGGTGTTTCCGTGATTTCCGAAAACTCTCAGATCGGGAAGTCGGATTGCGTGGTTTATTTGGTTGATTCCCGGTTATCCATGCAGTTTGTAGCCATGTTTAAAGCCTCTTCATCTCTGTCTTAACTCGACAATCTTTCAAACAGAGGGATATAATTTGTTTAGCAAATTGAATTGTCGATAACAGCCACAGTTGGTGTTATCTAATGTCCGTTTTCCTGTATTCCGAAAGCTTCTTATTAAACATCATGAACCAGGAAAAATGACGTTGCAATATTGACTGGAAGTGCCAGGTACCGTGCGGGTTCCATAACTTTAATATCCTCAACGAAAAATTAACTTCCTGAATCGTGGATCCTTAGCCATGAATTTCTGGGCGGATATGCGGACGCAAAAGCATTTTCCCGATTGAACAGTTGTCAGTGCGACTATATATGCTTATAACTTGGTGAAATCAACTAACCTAATACAATGTAAACTATAATACAATGGCTTTAGTCAGGCGGTAAACATCACAAATCTGTATGCGCTGAAAGGACAGAAAGAGCAAACTGGACCTTTTGGGGTAAACTAGTAACTAACGGTCAGTAACACTATACTTTTCCTGAGTATGATTATCGATGTTGATAAAATCGGAATTCATTCACATAACAAAAGTCATCTGAGATTATTTAATTTTTCTTCCCTTTTTTCGATGCAAAGAAAATATCTTCTTCTTCTTCTATGGCTGTAACGATACTCAAGTAGTGAAATGTAGTGATGACTTTTTATTTTTCGGGAATTCCGTGCATCATCAAAATTTTATGAGTCTTTTAAAAGTTTTATGCGTCGTTTTTTGGGAGTTTTTGTGGGTGTTTAGATCACGTGACGCGCTGGACCAATCAGCGGCCGGGACACCCCACCCTCTGTACACTATGGCAGGTCAAAGTACAATGAAAATGGCGGCTAGTCGTCCGAGACGTTTGGTGGCGGTTCTGCTGCAGAAAAGTGGAAATTCCTGCAGACTGATGGATTGAATACAGATTTCCGGAGTCTGCCCGTGGACTAGGAAAGTCAGTAGGTCCCGATCGGTAGCTTTCAATGGTTCTTGGTCCCAGGACGGGCGGCCAGAGAGGCCAGTTGGTAGCCGCTTTGTTGGAGGAGAGGTGAAGACTCAAGCTGGGCTAGCCGGACCGGATGCCGAATGGTGATCGAGCGACCTGCGCCGACCGAGATTATTTCCTTCATGGATCCGTTCAGATCGCGCTTCGGGACGGGCAGTAACCGCCGTGGGGGCGATCGCAAGCGCGACAGCGACCCGAAGGCCCCGCTATGGACGGCCGTCTTCGACTACGACGCGAACGCGGACGACGAGCTGACGCTGCGCCAGGGGGACCGGGTGGAGGTGCTGTCCACCGACAGCAAGGTGTCCGGCGACGACGGCTGGTGGACGGGCAAGATCGACGGTCTGGTCGGCATCTTCCCGTCCAACTACGTGCGCATGAACGACGCCGTCAACGGCGACGTCGTGCCCTGCACCATCGACTTCTCGGAGCTGCAGCTGAACGAGGTGATCGGGTGCGGGGGGTTCGGGAAGGTGTACCGCGGCGCCTGGCGGGGAGAGCTCGTCGCCGTCAAGGCGGCACGACAGGACCTGGACGACGATATCAACGTCATAGTCCAGCAGGTTCGACAGGAGGCGAAACTCTTCTGGCTGCTGGACCATCCGAACGTCGCGACTCTCAAAGGGGTCTGTTTAAAACCGCCAAACTTGTGCCTAGTTATGGAGTACTACGAGGGAGGAGCGTTGAACAGAGTACTGGCTGGGAGGAAGATTCCTCCGGAGATTCTTATAGACTGGGCCCTGCAAATAGCCCGAGGGATGCAATACCTCCACGAGGAGGCACCTATTCCACTTATACACAGAGACTTGAAATCAAGTAACAGTAAGTATCACTTACAAACAGTTATAAGTTTATCCATTATTCAGTAGCTGTGTGTGCTGATGACACGGTCTGTAAGCAGAGGTGGGGTGATAGCCTCACACCTGTGAACAAGTCGGGGAAAATGTTGTGAAGGGGGCAGTGATTTTACTCCCACATTTGCTCTGTGACATCCTGTTGAGGTTATGTGTCAGAAAATGTACGGTTGTCACTGTACTAGCGATTATTCTTTGTCCTGGCCGTGTAAGATTCACGTCACTGGTTTACAGGCAGTAACTGCTGTGCCCCATGTGCCTTCCACTTCTCTATCAGTAACTCCCAAATTAGCCACAACTAGACCAGTATTCCCTCTCCCAGCACCTGACGGCCAAATTTTGGGCATAGCCGTGCCCGCTTGCCAGGAGAAAGGGGGCAGTGGGTGTCCTTTGGTGGCCATTGTTTTGGTTTCATTGCTCCATGTGGAGGATCCATTTTCTGCAACCTGACATTTGTGCATGGCGTGTCAACTTGTCAGACTGCCGCCAGACACAAGGTCATGTGACAGCTGTCTTTGTTCCTACCCAGGTCCCCCCTCCCGTACCATTCATCGCCATATCTCACCCCAATCTGCACCTCAGGACCACCCTTTCCACCCTTTCTCTGGATGTAGTTGCTTTGTTCCCAGGATTTAAACTTCACTTCTTTTTTTTTTACAGCTGGTGCACTATGTTAAGCCTTTTTTGGCGGGAAGGCCAGTAGAGTAAATATTTGCACTTTGGGTGCTTGAGATGTGCTCAGTTCTAGCTTGTCGGGCCTGTGTTGTGTTTCTAGCACATGTTTCGCTCATTTGGTGCTCGGTGCACGGACTGAAACTTCCATTCATTCGTCCGTGGTCCCAGATACGTGCGATGTTTGGTCGTTCCTGGTACCAGTATAATGGCCGCATGTGACATCTCAGTCGTAGGTGTCAGAGGCAAAAAGGTCAGACGTACAAGACAGATCTAAATTTTTACTCGTCTTGTCTACATGTTGGGGCCTGGTCCGAAGAACTGCTATCTAGACCATATTCAAAAGAAACAATTCTGAATTAAGGAAATAAAGAAATAAAGTACACTAGAAGGTGATTAAAAAAATCAGCACCTTGATACGAGACTTATTCTGACCAGCACAAAGATAAAGTACTGTTAGATCACACATGTACTTGTATTTGCAAACTTTCATCATGGCTACCTGATTTTTAATGGTAGCCTCACAATTAAAATCACCCCCTCAGATAGTAAATACAGATCCTGTACAGATGCCATTAGGAAAGTGCTGGACACGAAGGATTAATTGGGCCTATATACATGTCAGTTAACCTTGGGGGCGATGTTTGTCCTTCAGACTAACAAAGAAATCTCTTCACACTCACATACGACAAATACACAGCCTTTGTTTGTCAGGCATAAATCATTACCTGGGGACATGACGCATGAAAGGACGTTTGACATAATTTCTTCCGGCAGTTTTGTTTTGGATATTGGCATGATATGAGACTATTGTCGAGTATTGAGCTTGCAGGAAGCCTTGCATTTCAAATATGGCACTGTGGTTGAAAAGGCCAGTGCATGTGGCACTGGGAAGATGGAAGGCAAAATACCAAGGAGGTCATAGCGAAAACACCTTTTATTTGACATTTTAGATGGGTTAGAAAGAGAAATGTATTGTTGCCCCCCTCCCTCCCCGTTAAAAAAGCTTAAACAAGAGCCCATTGTCTGTTGCTGCTTTTTGCGCAGCCCGGTTGCACCAAGTTTGTTCTTGCCGTCATGAACTTATTGTAATAATGTTGCCAGGGCGATAGTTCTACTTCAGGAGACAGCAGGGCTATTCTTGTCCTCTGATTACCAGATAACACAGGTTTGTCCTTGCAGCACACACTCCCTCAGGCCTGCGTGGGGTGTTACCATGTTCCAACAAGCACTTTCTCTACTACATTGTGCATATGTTAATTTCAGTGAATGCAGAATAGTGTAGGACCAGTTTGCATGTTTCTACTTTCACTCAAGCTCACAAGTTTGTCTGAAAGAGACATCTGGTTATGTGAAACATTAGGGTAACCTCAGTTTTTGCATGTTGTAAGGTGAAAGAAGCAAGTTACATGGTCCTTGCCAATTTTGTTATTGTAACTAACTTTATTTCTAGTACTTTGGAAAGGATTTAGGACAAACAAGACAGGGACATGAAGGATTAGCGACATGTCTAATTGTCATGTAGACTATGTAGTAGATTTGATATGATGAGGATAAGTATTGAGGTCAGCGTGCACAAAAAGCTGGCTGTAAGGTCAACTGGAGGGCCGTATGAGTGTCAATATGAATTTCAATGGACAGCTCGGCTGAAAAGAAACACAGTTTCAGGGTCAGGAGTGCAGGAAACAGATGTTTGGTACAATGGATAGACTTGTCTTGACACTGCACTTCAGCCTTATGGAAGTCTAGGCCAAGTTCAGGTGTTTCTTGGCAGCTACCAAACCATATCATTGATTTAGGCATTTGCTTTATAATTGCGCATAGTATAGTAGGACTAAAGCTGGGATATGAAATATGCATTCAAACATACATTGTAACATGTGGGCTATGCTATCAGTTTCACTTACAAAGAATAGGTTGTACTTAGTAAGGTGAGGTATGATAAAACTATGATATGTATGACCACCTGTGGGATTATAATATAAAAGCAGTAGATTGAAATCAGTGTTTATCGTTCACAAAACACTAATTTACTAATTACATGTAGCTCTGCCAAAAAGTCACAATTATACATTTATAGTGGACAAGAAGGTGTCAGCATATCAAGTAACCAGTCTACCTAGGGCTGAATGAGGGTCTGCATGGGGGGGTCCTGGCAACGGTTAACGGTAAATTCAGCATGGCCGATAACGCTTAACTTTAAATTCAGGACGGTCGGTAACGCTTAACGGTAAATTGACAGGCTTTTTTTCGAACTGCACTGGATTTGGTATCTCACTTTGTGAGAAAAGGTGATCACTGACAAAATTACGTATACCTTACATGTAATGAAGCATGCATTAAAGGTATGTGTTCCCTGTGTTTCCCACCTGCCCTGGTCCCCGAGTGCGTCCACAAATACCGGGGTGTCCGAGTCGACGTCGGCCAGCTTGCATTTTTTTCAGTCTGCCCAGTTTTACCGATGGATTTTGAGAGGGGAGCGCCGAAGGCGCTCGTATTAAATAAATCTAGGAATGCTTCCCCGGGAAATTTAGGATTTTTAAGCCTTCAAAAACCACATTTTGAGAGGCAAATCATGGTGTTGAGAGTGTTTGTCGGTCCTTCTGATGTTTTCATATATTATTCAAGATTTTTGTTAATTTGGCTGTCAAGGTTGACGGATTCGTTAAAAAAATTCTGTAACTCTCTGCAAACTTCCGGAAATTGAAGGGAAAACTGGTTCTGGCTAGAGCCGAAGGGACCGAGCGCAGAGAAGCGCGAGTCGAGCGCCAAAGCCAAGGCGCGAGCAATGTAGGGGGTCCGGGGGCATTCTCCCCCGGGAAATTTTGTATTTTTAAACCTTCAATGACGCATTTTCCTGCAGTTTGAAAGGCAAAATTAGGCGTAACGAAGAATTATTCATTAACGCTTAACGCTGATTTTAGGATGACAAATAACGTTTTACGTTGAATTAAAACTACCGCTTAACGTTAAATTAGAGCGGGCCGGCAACGATTAACGGTAAATTAGAATAGCCCATAACGGTTAACGAAAAAGGGCATGCAGACCCTCCTGAATAGGTGGCATGTTGGAACTGATATGTAATATAATTACAGAATTTATATTTTATCTTTGTGAATGAAGAATAAATGCCCTGAGTGACAGTTTAACAGGATAGCAGTCAGTTTTCTCTACTGCTCTGACTGATTGTAAAGTCAGCTGTGACTGATTGACATTCGATCCTAATAGGAGGAAAAGTCCACAAACTTGTTGGTCCAGTTTTGGGCCATGCATAGGTGATTAGGCAGGCATGCACACAGCTCATACAAGAAACGTTAAGCATGTTTTGTCTGGGTGAGTGCACCAGGAAAGGTTGCCGATTGGGTGTTACCAAGGGAAGGGGATGTTGTTTATGAAAAGGACTAGTAAATGTACAGCTGTCAGAAAAGTGCCGTCCGTATATTCTAGAAAACCACTCGTAAAAGTCCCCACATGCAGCAACCTGGAATTCCTGTAAACCCTGAGGCCAGTCTTGTACATACATATATTCTGCTAATTTGCTCCTGTCGTGTGAATCACCATTTAAAACAAAGTAAATGGCACAAAAGGCAGTTTTACACCTACCATATATCTCGTGTAAGGTCTGTCACTTTGTGAAGGAATGCCACCACATGTTTGTGAAGTTAAGGAATCTTACTTTAACTATTATACATATCCCTTGATTACCATGTTTAGCTAGATATGTCTTCAGCATTGTGACCTGGGGGGTTTGCCATGGTATTTCGGGGAATATGATAAGTAAATTACCACTTCAGACAAGTATCCAAATGATACCTTTCTGTGCCAGAGCAGCAGATTTATATCCTGTGTAGGCTGACCTGAAGGCTGGAGGGTATGACTGGGGGACAGAGGAGGTGATTACATGGTGGATAACAGGTCATCAGTCCCCTCCTCCACAGGAGATGGTATCTTCCTGTATCCTCAGGGGGCAGAGGTCATCAATCTCAGCTACTATAGATGGGTAGCCTCTACCAGGCTTCTCATACCAGGCTTCATGAGAAGCCTCTACCACAGCACCAGGCTTCGGGAGGCGGCTGGAAAGAGTAGAAATTGGCCAAATAGACAGATAACATGCCAGGGGAGTTCATCAGTTAGAGAGTACAGTTTGCTTCAACCCAGACATGGACCAACTCCCCAACATGTTATCCCTCTATTCGGCTTTTTTTCTACTCTTTCCAGTCACCTCCTGAAGCCTGGTGGAGGCTAATAGATGAGTGGGATCTCATACTTTGGTTTCCTTTGTCTATGATTACTTCA